AAAATACAAAAATATTTTTCTAGGTAATATAGCCATTTTCTAGTTAAAGAAGTGGAGAGAATGTTAAAGCAAAAAAGCATGCCTGAATTAAAACTGTTATTTTCTACATGGACAGTTTGGCAATTGCTTCTCCTCTGAAAGGAACAATCTTTTTGTTTAGCGCCGTAATTCATGGGCTTCTAAACCAGAATGCTGATGGATGAATTCTTGAAAGATGGAGTTTAATCTGAACCCCTACATCTTTCGCTGGATCTACCAGGCTAGCATAAGTTTAGAGAGTAACGGTCACATTTTCTTTCTCAAGAATAAGCTGCTGTGATCTCTGGTCCTCCTTCCCAACAGCTGGCATGTTCGCAGGGCTCTTGCATTTTTGGGAGGGGGACATTCTGCATTATAGGAGAGCGCTGAACAAAACTGTAAGGAAAGCATCAGAAGAAGGAAGAGCAATATGATAACAACACATAGCCCAGAAGCACCTCCTGATCGACCCATCCCTTTTCTTTCTCCAGAAATCAGAGCTGACCACAAAGGGTTTGGGCTGAAGCAGCAGCCGAGAGGGGCAAGTCATGGCAGGGGCAGCACCCCTGAGCCCCCCGGTTAAGCTGCTGTTGAAATCACGGCTTTGGGACGGCTGTAGCCAACCCCGGGGTGTTCCCAGATAACGAACCCGCGCCGAGGCACGGATAGCAGGGCACTGCGCAGCCCGGAGCACCCCGTTCAAGGTCTGGGTTTGAGCCCAGAAAGCCGACCGTTGGTATGTGTTGATTTCTGCATGAAGGTAATCTTTGTGCTGTTAATGCAGCCAGCGTCTGGTTTCCAGAACAACCTGGTAATGGAGTTACTCTTTTTGTTAATTGTACTATCCAAAGAGACGCTTATGGACCTGATTTTAGGAAGCAGAAAATTAATCATACCAGCATACAAATGACAAGATTGAGTAAAGACTCAGCGATTGTACCAGCAGTTCAGCCTGTCTTTCCCAGAAAGAAAATGTTTCACGTATCCCATGACACCATCCCGCCATGTAGTTTTCCTGGGGTCCTGAATTTCCCAACACTGTGATGTCTGCCCCCAGTTTGTGGCAAATAAAGTGACGTTGACTGATCAGTTATTCAGTCTATCATCTCAGTAGTAGCATTAGTACCTTCCCCGTTCAGTGGTGTAATATTTTATGTGCAAAATGCATCTGAGGCTCAGTAAGCCTTACTAGCCTTACTTCTGAGCCTTACTAAATCCTTACCAGGATTTGGGAAAACCAGCATTTGTAGAGAGGGTACCTCCTGCACTGAGCTGCTGGTGGAAAGAGGCAGATGAAGAACCACCCTCGAATCCATGAGCTCGAACCAGCACCTCTCCAAAACAGCCCTTCTCTGCCACGTCCAGAAGGTGCTGAGCGAGACTCGTCATCCAGATGCTGGAGATGCTCAACAGAGATGCTCCTCAGATGAGCTGGTAGCTCTGTGCAGCTCTGCTGCAAGGGGTCTAAGGTGCAAGAAGAGAGATACGGCCGTTAAGGCTGAGCTGAGCACACAGCTTACCTCTCCGTCCTACAAGTTGGACTGAAACTTGTCTTTCACAGCAACACCTCATCTGGGTTTAAGGACTCCAAGTGATAATGGTTCCATCATCATTGCTCAGAAACTGCTCTCCCTAATTACCCTTTCACCTAGGATAATTAAGCTTTCAGAGCTGAATATTTCTGTTTCAGCCTTTCCTGTGGGATCTTGTTACAACTTCCCCAGCAATACAGCAATGCACTTCTGCATATCTTTTTCATACATAGGGGCCTGGAAACCCAGCTCATACCCGCTGTCCCCTCACTGGGCTGCACTTGTGAACGAATCGTTCCTCTATTGCACACTCAGTTCATTGCACGTAATTCAAGGGGGGGGGGGGATTGTTTAAACTGAAGGCATGGAAGTGCCCCGTTGGACCACTGGGTGCAGGGCAAGGAGGACCAAGCAGTAGGACACCCACCAGCAGCTCACCCCATGGGCGCTGCATCGCCTCCGTCCCGGGGACACCCCGGGTTTGCCCTCCAGCGGCGCGGGGACGGAGAGCACGCGGGCGCATTTGCCTTATACGATAAAAGAATCGCCAAAAGGCTCCGGCTCTGTCTTTCTTTGATAAAAAGGCAGCCCGAGAATTGCCCTCTCCCACGAGCCCCAGCTCTCGGCCTATGAGATAATATAGGCTGGCCTTTTCTTTGCAGCTGTATTGTTTTAGTGCTTGGAAAATAGCAGCAGGCTGAGCAATGAGTCATCTGTCACTAGATGGGGTTAAAGTAATTTCCTTTTTCTGTTGCCATGGGGAAATCAACGTCCTAAGATTTGTCCTTTCTCCCACTCAAACATGTGGGAGTAGAAAGCCTGAAACCCAGCAGGGCTAAACAGTTTTTTAAATTTTTTATATATGTATTTTTTTCCCCTTATAAACAAACTTCCCTCCGTGGCCTTGCAGCTGTCAGTCTGTTCCCGGAATCGTCCGGTTAACAATGTCATTCCCCTTGGATTGCAAAAAATCCAGAAGCAGAGTTTAAGTAAATATTTGACATTCATATAGGAGTTGCTTCACGTTATCACTTATAAGAGTCTCTGTTGCTTGTAAAGTTTTATGTGTACATTCGAGGTTATAAACTTGATATTACACAAATAAAAGTGAAACTTCAAAAAAAAGTAAATTAAAGTAGCAGCTCACCCGACGTTCATCATATAGTGAATAACAGAAACAGGAAAGAGGAAATTGCAGTAAATACCGTTTAAAAGCCTCGCTAACGTATAGCTTATATGAGTAGCAGCATAGCAACATCTAGTGTTGATCAGGGATATAGCTGAAAGTTATCGTCATGCTTCATTAATGGCAATTCAATGAAATCTGCAGGCAGGGAACCGGCTGCGCCCCGACCACCACTGCCCAGCACAACCTCAGCTCCTTCTCCCCTGTGTTTCATAACATGGCGTGTTCTTCATGCTCCGTGTCACTGCCTTCGTTAGCTCTGCAGAATTGCAATCATCTGGTAATGCTCTCAGTCTGTCTCGATCGTTATGAAAATTATTGTGGTTACATTTAAGAGCCGGCGGGTTTAAATGCGATTCAGTGCAACGGTGGCCAAAACTTTCAGCACCTGAACTGATATTAAGAAAGCAATTTCTACCTGACAGCTGATCACGTTACCAACCGTATGGTAAAACCCAGGACCAATTAAACATTGCTGTCGAATGGGTAGAGTGCTCAGAATCACTCCTTTCCCTAGAAATGAGCGTGCAGCGTAAGGTTGCGGTGCGGAGGGGGTACGTCAGAGAAGGCTGTGTTTTCGCTCTCCTGTATCACCCCATGATTACTGTATTGTGCACAGTTTAAGATCATCTATAGAAAAATTGATTGAGGCGTATTTTGAACCTATCAGACCGCATCCCATGTAGACACTTCATTTAAAAGACACCTTTTAAGCTCAAGGTTCCTTGCTACTTAGCTCCTTTGTAGGTATACATTATGGATTAACATTAGTTTAGTTTTGATTAGTTAACTAAATGAATTAGTTAAGTGGTTAAGTTAAGCTGAACTACTCAAGTTTAGCTTAACATTAGTTTGGTTTTTTAGTTTAGGTTTAATTATTTTTAAAGGCTTTGTTAAACTCTTGCAGTTTTTTTCATATAAGCAAGCCCTTGTATCAGGGCTTACTGAGGACTATTTAAATAAAATAATTAGTCTCCTTAGATTACAGCTCCTGTTACATGGGGTTTGCTTCATCTTCAGTAAAGTAACATCCTTTGGGTTTTCTCAAACAAAACAAAATTAATGAATGGCTGCTTTCCAAATCCAGCTCTGTCTTGCAACACCCTGTGAACAGATTTTTTGCCACGTTTAAGTTTATTACATGATCTAATTAGCATGACTGTGTAGGTGCATGGAATGCACTGGGGGAGAGGAAAAATACAAGTGTGCAAAACGCTGTTATATAATTTGCTACGGGGACACACTTCTTAAAGACAGAG